TAAATGCGTAACTAATTATTTGTTACTATATAGATCATGTATATTTGCCTTGTGTTTATGTTAAAGCAAATAAATTATGAAATTCGTTGACGAAAATTATGAATTTGTTCAAAAGTGTGCAAACACACAGGCAGCTGGCAACATTTCGCCGCTCTCAGCGACGTCGATAAGTCGTGTGTTTATCTCGCCTCGACGTCGCCACTTATGGACGGCTGGTACGCTCGTTGGGTAGTTGCAGCCTCAACATTAGCGCGAAACAAGCGAGGCAAAGGCAAAACAAGTTTTCAATGGAGAAATCATGGGGAGAAATGTATGTCAAAATTTTACATCCAGTCGCTCTGAAAACGTCTTTGTGTTCGGACAAATAATTGCAAATTAAACGGGTGTTTCAACGCGTTGCTGTGTTCTCGTTCTCGTTGTACACACACGTTCAATTTGAGTTTGATTTTATTAATTGATTGCAAACAAAGCGAGTGCGAATGGTGAAGGCAGCCGAGAGTGAAATCATAAGAAAATTTAGCAAACAATAATCAACAAGGAAAAATATTCTCCTGAGGGTTGTTGCTAAATTGTGAAAATTTCATTCAGATAAATTGGCTAATGCTGATAAGTGTGTTATTTAAAATAGTAAAATTAAAAAAGATCTTTTAATAAATTGTTCATACAATAAAAGAAAACAAATTATTAAATATTCGTACAGTGATTTAGTGAAGTGGCTAGTTAGCGAATATCGCTGAAAAAGAGAGAAATAAAGAGAATTAATTTGACAACGAGCCAGTTAAACGAGCCATCAGCCTATTCACAGCAAAAAATAAACAAAACAAATGGTTTTGATATTTATGTAAAAGGAAGAACAACGGCTCGTGTAAATAATAAAAGGTAAATGAGAACAAACTAAGAGCATTTCACTTGTTATTAACATACAATATTTTTTACGAAAATATTCTCGAGTTGAATAACTAGAAGTACCATGCAGAAATAACTAATAAAAACTAAAATGGACAAAAAGTGAAATGAATATGATGGAAAATATAATCTCATTCCGGTAGACAGTCTACTTTAAAGTGGTCGCTATAATCACCTACTCTACTCAATTGTTTGCTTATTCACTCGCATTCTTATTACGGCAACTGATGATTCTTCACATCTCGACCTCTTTTGGGGCCTATGAAGCAACGAAGACAACAGTAGCTGCCGTAGTCATCGATGTAACAACAGAAGTCTGTTAACAAAGGTGATTATTTTTGGCGGTGGCGAGGGAGTGCTGTGGATTGTTTTGCATTTTCCCACTTCTGGTATTTCGTTAAATGCTCAAAGTAAATGTGTTCTCTCTCTTTAAGTCTCATATTCGTTAGTCAAAAAATGCTGTATTCTCTTACTGACTAGTTTTTTTTTTTTGTTTATTTTAGAAATCAACCACACCAAAATGAAAATTGGAATCGAACATTTTGGAAAATTTCTCTCTTAAGGCAGACATTAATTGATAATTTATAATATTCTCCTATTTGACTTTGTGGCTACCTGCCATTGATTTAAAGGCGCCAGACTGACCTACGACCGCTAATGAAATTGTTTGTGTAGTAGCAGAGGATGCATGTAATTCAGATGTAATACCAGCTACAGAATTTGTCTAGATATATTTATTTGATGTTGTCTGAAAGGAAAGTGAAAATGCAGATGTGAAAATAATATCAAAATTGTTTATGTGTAAGTGTTTACATGTTTGTATGTGTAGTATGTCCTTGCCACTAGACCATATGGGAAATTGATTATTGTTTATTCTTAAATTTGATAAGATCATCAAGAACGAACTTTTCTCCGTTCAAACTATGTGTACATGTAAAATAATAATAAACAAAAATATACATACATACATGTGTATATGTATACATTCATACACAAAAAAAAAGATTACACTTCAATTCTTATAAATGACAGCAGAATTTATTTATTCCTGACCGAAAACATACGTTGAATTCCAATTAAAAGCATCTGCATCACTGCAGAAATTTACCATGAAAGTTCCACTATATTTACCGTAAAGGCAGAGTTAGGCATTCCATTCATAGGTCTGAAGAAAGATGGAATTGCCCATGAGTATAGTAACGCTTCGACCAAACAAGAAATGCGAAATTTACAGCGGGACGTCAAAGACGGCTATTCAGCTAGAATGACGAAATAGCCGTAAAGTTAAGAATAAGTCGACCAACCGTCGTAAATGTGAAGACTATTGTCGAAGCTGTAAAAGCTGGAGGCCGCCCGCGAAATATTAGCGGTAATAAAAAGTGTACTGTTGAGCATATATTGTGCGAAAAGGAGTATGGGGCTCCTTGAGGAGCTGCCGCTACGTACACGGAAAATATGATGCTCTAGCGGTTAAACTAAAAACCTAGTTTTATCTGAGCGAAAAGCTAGTCTGGACTGGTAAAATTTAAATGGTCAGATAAGACAAAAAATAATAGGTACTAATTATATAGTAAGGCATATTTTTGGCGTCGTCAGGTTGATTTGGGGTTTTTTCACAAGGTGGCATAACGATAATTTGTTTAGATTAATTGGAATTATTATATGAATAGGAAGATGTATGCATCGGCACATTATAAACTAGGAGCTGCCTGACTTCTTGGACCAATGCATCTATCTCTACCTCACTTAGTTATTGAAAACTTGGTTGAAAGTACGTCCAGACGTAGAAAAAGCGTAATAAAAAATAACGGCTTATTAAATAAGTACTAAATCTTGTAAAGAATATGCAGCTGTGAAATAGTAGTGAATACTAAAATTTTAGATATCTTCGAGTTATGCAAAATTCCAAACAATTTTAAAATCTATTGAGTAAAATCTGGAGTATATTCTCCAAGCTAGATTTACTAATAAAAATATTTTGGTTTACATATCTATGTGGACGATATGCTTATGCACAAAGATTTGATTTTATGCGAAAATTGTAGCGAGCAGTAAAATAGTACTAATGTAACAAAAACACTTTTTAAAGAAGCAATGAAGGATTTTTTGAATTTCAATTTATTTTAATTGGAATTAATCCTATATTTTCGTTCAGAAATAACATGAAGCTATGCCAGTTTATTATTATTATCTTTATTTAGGTGTATGAATGTTGCCGA